TCTGTGCCCCAGAATTTCATATTAAACTTATGAATAGTTTCTATGTCTATGGGTTTGTGGGTAAGTATGGTTGTGTCGTGCCTACCAATAATTAACCTTATAGTTATAATATAAGAATTATATTTTCTATTAATGTACTAAACATTTATATAAAAATTTAAATATTGCATATTTTTATTTTTTATTGATTGCGTTAAAAAAATGAATATTAGTTTTAAAGTTTATAAATAATTATAATTATAAAACAATGTTTGCCCTAGAACAAACTAAAGTAGTTTCAATAAACCATCATACACAAATATATGTTATAAATAATTTATAACACCCCCTGACCATCCTGACAATATCACCATGATGTTATCCCTCCCACCGCCTAAACCAGTGCCTACGACACATAAACTTGATCTACTTGTGTCACAACATTTTTATTTATTTTACGTTTATGAAATGTCATTGTATTTAATAGCATTTTGCGACTTTTACAGTCAAATCTCGATTATAAATTATATATCACTTAAAACTTATTTTTAAATATAATTATATAAATATAATTTATTTCACATTGTATTTAATTTACACTTACAACTAGTGTTCCCAGGTCAATATTTCAATTTCCTTGAGAAATGTACTTTTGAGTAATATTTTCCTTGAGATTCCTTGAGATTTTACTGAAAATTCCTTGAGTTTTTCCTTGATGCGTTTTTAAGAGAAAGTGATTATTTAAACTAATAAAGCAGTATATAAATTGTAATTTATATTGCATTACACGCTCATAATTGCCTCTTAAAACATTTATTTATATATTTTAACCAGATTACGAAAGTAATATTTTCTAAATTTTCTAAAGTTAACAATTTGTTGATCTGGTATCTGTTTATACCTATTTATTAAAGTTTTTATATTGATATTTTGGATAAATCATGCTATTTAATTGAACATTAAATTCCTTGAGCTCTCCATATCAAGGCGAGACCCTCGCCGGGAGACAGGAGCCAGACCTCGATTCCTGGAGACTCCTGCCATTCCGGGAGCTTCTGGGAACACTACTTACAACACTGCGCTTGCTATGTAAATACTGTATATACAATATTAACATATAATCACCATGGTATTGGTCCAGATATACCGATAAGGCATTATAATATAATGATTATGCACTGCACTGTATACACAAATGCTCAATTAGTGTACAGGTAATAAATGGGATTGGAATATGCTAAATTATAATGTAAATGTAATAGTAAAAATTACCAATAGTAAATTTAATGATAATATCCCTATGCCTAACGTACAGTGCATGCAATTCTGTACAGAATAATTCATATATTGGTTCATACGTTCATTATAGCGAGTGTAAACAGTAGGCAATGTTTATTGTACATGTATTTCTGGATTATTTCCAAGTAGGACAACTCAATGATGATGAAAATCACGTTTTTGTATACACTATGTAAATTTAAAACACGATGATAAGTAGATTTTGGGTAGTGATAACTGTCACTATACTGTAGTGTACAGTATAGTAGATACTCGGGTAGCTGTGTTGGTGACACCGGTGGCTATGTGTACATTATATTTGCATATGATAATTGTTCAAGGTGATCCAGCGTGATGTAATTGTACGGTAGTATTTCTTACATATTTATACTCGTGTATAGTGTGTATTAAAATTAGTAATCTTGTTTTTATCATGATTTTATAATTAGTAAATTTCCAGTATTTTAACAATTTTTCCAGGACTCGTGCACATTGCTCCTGAGCAGTTAATAAATTATTAATCCATTATTATTAATGTTATTTTAACATCGTAAATTGTTTTATCATTGCCAGTGAATGACATAGACATCTGTTGTATAGTGTAGTAAAATATAACTTATATCAATATCCGTGTGTATAAAGTGTAAAATACAGCTTGATTCAATTGAAACATATTTGATTAAGATTAATTATAATTTATAAATAGTTGTGTATTTAAAGGAAAATAATAATTTTTTAAATTAAATAAATAGTGTTATATACAGTATTTTATCTCGTGTTTTATTATACAGTTTAAAGTCTTACTCACTTTATCACGAGTCTAAAGTATTATTGTGTGTAAAAAGTTTTAAAATAAAAAATTTAAAACTAGTTAATAATTATTATAACCAATTATTTATCAACGAAACACTTCATACAAAGTGCCCGATATATACACATAATACACACATAATGCCAGCTAATGGACAGTCGTATACCCCGGTGTCGCACGTGGTGTTTGATATGGACGGCCTGTTATTGGGTACGGACATTGACCATACCTTATAATTTGCACCTAGATTGTATTTGATGAAAATAATAATTATTTATTAATTTATTTCACACTACCGGTGCCGCAGATACTGAGCCCCGGTATGAGAAGGCCATCAGTACAGTGACTGAACGCTACGGCAAGCCATACAAATTGGAGTTGAAGGGTAAGTGGTATTGCTTTAGTTTTACCATAATTAATTGTAACCATAAATTGTAAAAATCAAAACTATTATAGTTATACATTTAACCGTTATTATTTATAAAAATATAATACATATTCCTATCTAAAAAAATAACCAGAATATTCTTAGCCCTAAAGCAAACACACATTACTATACAAAAAATTCTAACTATAATGTTTCTCCACCCTTACCTACCAGTGCGAGTGATCGGCACAACCGGTAGGGACTCAGCGCGGCTGATAACTAAGGAACTGGAGCTCCCGATAACACCCGACCAATACATCGCCGAACTGGACAAAGAGTACGAGAAAGTGTTTGATAACGTGCCGTTCATGGCGGGCGCCGAACGCCTGGTCCGACATCTACACAAACACCAGGTGCCCATCGCCATAGCGACCAGTAGTAAAAAGCATACGTTTGAGCTGAAAACCCGTGAATTGATGCACGTGTTTAAACTATTTCACCATATATTAATTGCCTCGGATGATCCGGAGATTACCAGGGGCAAACCGGACCCGCAATCCTATCAGGTAACATAACTAAACTTTATATAAACTAAGTTTTATAGTTGTTTAAACACTAGTCATAAATGTAGCTTAAAATAGTGTGTAGCCTAAAGTTCTCATATCATTATTAATAGCTAGTTATTCAATAAA